TATATCTCACTAAGTACTAATTGTAAAAACATCATTTTTGAATCAAAAGATGCACAATTGAAAACTAAACAAATAAATGCAAAAAAACGATTTTTGAAAAAAGTGGACAAAGAACCTTTTCATCCTCAGCCCGCAAATATGTGGGCGATTGCAAACTCCCCCGGGTCTACTCCAGTACTACCTGACGGAAACGTGTAAACTCTCCCGGGTTTATTCCTGTACTACCTGATGCAAACATGAAAACTCTCCCGGATCTAGTAAAAATCATAAAATAAATTTAATATACATTTAAGTTGCGTTTAAAAATAGTCAATCACATATTATAATAACAATATAAATTCATGTCTTTAGATACTATGAGCTATAATATTATAGTCAAAATACAATAAAAAATCTAATATACATTTAAGTTTCTTTTAAAAATAGTCAATAATAATAATAATAATAATAAAAGTTACAAATACAAAATATACGTAAAAATGTTAAAATTATTGTTTTTGATAAGGACATACAGATTTTAAAAAAGTTAGGGAATCTATTTTTTTTATTCTAAAAAAATATTTTAACATTTAAGACAACTTGGGAGATAAATATAWCCGATAACTATAAAGTTAACCCRRGAGAGTTTACACATTTACTCTAGGTAAACATAATAGTAACCCGGAAGAGTTTACCATAAAATCGGGAGAGTTTACCATAAAATCGGGAGAGTTTACCACCGCTCGTATATGTGCAGGAGAGAATTTGTCACTAAAACCCTGGCGGTTACCCATCTGGGAACTTATAGTGACAACGATCGATACTTGACCTCAAGACACGTTTTGACTTAGGCCAAACACCGTGCTACACCAGGCCACAATAACCTTTACTGTACAATAAATATTATGAATTTTTTTCCAGATCAAAGAACAAATGAATGGCCTATGGTCCAAGGAATCACAACACCATTAGCATGTGCCTTGGTGTACTTATACCTTGTGTTATATTTAGGGCCGAAATTTATGGAAAATAGAAAACCTTTTCACTTATTACCAATAATTAAAGTTTATAATTTAGTTCAGTTAGTAGCATGTATCTTAATTTTTTACATGGTAAGTATTATTTTAAATAGTTTTCATTTATTGCAATACATATTGTGCCTAAATATAAATTACATGCACATATAAAACAATTATCATATTTAGATTTTAATTTCTGGATGGACAACTAAATATACTCTTGGATGTGAACCTGTTGACTCAAATGCACCACATTCAAATCGAGTAAGGAAAAACATAATACTTGTAATTTATATACTTGAAATAAATAATACACTTATGTATAAGCATAACATGACAAAAATTTTCGTAAATTTCAAATTAAATTAGGTTCGAGTATGGTTTAACGGTTAGGTTARACACAGAGCATATTATCAACTTAATAGGTAACTGACAGTCGACACCGTGTACTTGCACGACAGTCAACTCGGCTCGCCCTTACCCGGTCACACAAGAGCGAATTAATGGTGAAACTGAATGGATTCAAATGCAGCGAGTTGCTGCTTATGGACTTGGTGGGGGGAAAACGGCGAGGAAAAACAATAAATATTATAGTAGCTACTAGCTGCACATCAGTAACTGCCAAGGCCAACCCGGTCATTTAGCTCGCACTGTGTAACTAACGCTTGAGACTAGTTGGTACTTTGTGGGAKAGGGAGGATCAATAATTACCAGAACTTTTCTTAATTATTAGAAAACTAATTCATAATGAAAAGTGAATCTACAAATATTTACATGCATGTCTAAGTTTAAATGTAAACATAATTGGATGACACACGTTATGTCAGTGGCATAGCCAGGATTTCTACAAAGGGGGGGGGAAAAAAAATTAAATAAATAACATTCAAATAACAGAATTTTTAATTTTACAAATATTTGGAAAATATTGATGATAATAACACGCTTATAAATCTAC